AGCCCTCCCCCCCCCCCCCGTCCCACTGCCATTCTGGTCCACAGTCTTGTCACATCCCGCCTTGATTACTGCAACGCTCTCCTCTTCGGCCTACCTCAAAAGTCCCTCCATAAAATCCAGCTGGTTCAAAACGCCTCTGCTCGCATCATCACAAAAACATCTTCCCAGCAGCACATCACCCCCGTTCTCCAACAGCTCCACTGGCTTCCTGTTCAACATCGCATCAATTACAAACTACTCCTATATACATATATGGCCATCCACAACCTGGCCCCTCCTTACCTATCCGACCTTCTCCAGGTGCATATCCCCACTCGCTCCCTCAGATCCTCGTCCTCCCTCCACCTGTCAGTGCCCCCTGCCCGCCTGAGCACCATGGGAGCTAGAGCCTTCAGTCGCGCTGCTCCAAAGCTTTGGAACAATCTACCTCCGGACCTCCAAAACTGCACATCTCTCTCCACTTTCAAGTCCCGTCTAAAAACACACGTGTTCAGGATTGCCTACAACACTTAGCTCTTCCATTCCCTATGTTTTTATGATTTTATGTCCTGTTTTTTTATATAATATCTCGCTTACAAATTTTTACATTCTATTTTCTTATTGTCTGTACAGTGTCCTTGGGTGGCATGAAAGGCGCTTTTAAATAAAATGCATTATTATTATTATTATTATATTTACTCTTATTAAATGGCAGCACGGAAGTCTGTCTGCCTCACTGACGAGAGGAATTGATCCAAATCTGAGCTCACTCTCTGGGGCGCTATTTTTGTGCACATAGCAAGTTTAGCGAGACGAGCTGTCCAACTCTGCATGAAGGCGGGCTAGACAATGTTTTGGTATTTTCATAGATGCATGCAACCTTAGCAAAGTTAAAAACGGGTGTTTTGCAATGTTGTTGGTGTGAGCACAGCTGACTTGATTTGTCATCAATGACAGTGGTTCTTTGCATTCCCTTTAAGATTGTCGGGTGAGAGCCGCAGTCCTTGACATGGTGGAAGAAAAAAAATAATTTGGTGGAAATACATTGAGAAGAAACTGCAAGCAGACCTCCGTGGGCAGATGATGTACCAGTAGAATTGGCCAAGGAAATCACAGATACTGTATGTGACATGGTCACTTGGAGACCACCTTCCGCCCCAATCGTTCTTGTTTGTATGTCCCATTTCTTGCATGGGTTTTCTTCAGGTATTGCAGTTTCTTCTCGCGACCCAAAACATGCTTCTTCAATCTTAAATTGCCTAAATTGTCCATTGGTGTGACTAGCGCTTTGTTCATACAGTATTCATGGGACCAGACATTGGTCAACGCTGCCATCTGCTCAAGTTCAGTTGCACAGAAGGAAAAAAAAACATTATTTTTGGTTGGACATAATTAAAACGTGTTAAACAAATACATATATTTTTTTGGAGGAAAACAGGAAAATTACACAGGTTAACCACATTTTAATCATGTGCAACTGATGAACATGCTTGAATTAAGTTAGATCCATAGGATCTTTTTTTTCAGTGTGGGAATGACTCCACCCAAGAGAGAGAGAGAGAGAGAGAGAGAGAGAGAGAGAGAGAGAGAGAGAGAGAGAAAGAGATTAGATTTTTTAAAATTATTTTTGAAAATGTACCCAATTTGAAAATGTTAATTGCACAAGAAATTGCCTTAAAGACAAACAAAACTAAATTAATTAATTTGAACATTACAAAAGGAGGCGGCCCGGTGATCCAGTGGTTAGCGCGTCAACCTCCCAGTGCAGAGGCACTTCCAGCTCCGGCCTCCCTGTGTGGAGTTTGCATGTTCTCCCCGGGCCTGTGTGGGTTTTCTCCGGGTTTCCTCCCACATTCCAAAAACAGGCTGATTGAACACTCTAAATTGTCCCTATGTGTGAGTGCGGATGGTTGTTTGTCTCTGTGTGCCCTGGGATTGGCTGGCAACCAGTTCAGGGTGTCCCCTGCCTACTGCCCGAAGATGGCCGGGATAGGCTCCAGGACCTGTGTCCCCTGCCTACTGCCCGAAGATGGCCGGGATAGGCTCCAGGACCCCCCGCAACCTGCGTGAGGATAAAGCGGATCGGAAAATGGATGCATGGATTACAAAAGGAAGTCTGCATACATTCGCTCTCCTCCTGTGGTAACACTGCATTGTTTTTAAAATAATTCAGATGATGCCTTTCTAACTAAAATTAACTAGCAATCTGGATTTGACCTGACTTTTATCTACCAGGACCGACTCAGTGGAAGGGGAGAAAGGGAGCGTTCTTAGAAGTTTATCTTTATCTGGTATTTGCACAAATTGAACGAGTTATTTTTTGCGAAACAAATGCAAAAATAAATACATGAATTAATTTTAACAATATAAAAGGAAGTCTGCATACATTTGTTTTGCTTTGGTGAGACTGCGTAGTTTTTGCAAGGATCTAGATCAACACTACCAGCAACTGGATTTCAACATATGTTTACATTCTCGGATCGACGAGAGACTTTTGAGAGGGGGGGTGGGGGGGGGGGGTTGAGAGCGAGAGAGAGAGAGAGAGAGGGAGAGAGAGAGAGAGAGAGAGAGAGAGAGAGAGAGACCGACAGTCAGCCTTTTTCCTGAAGTATATTGGATACATTTTTTCTGAAAACCAAATTCCCTTAGCCTGTAGTCCATGTGACAAGGATTTATTTTAACAATTGTGAAAATAAGTCTGTTTTATGTTGAAAATAGGAGGCAAATAAGTCTTGACAGTTTCTTTGGAAATGGTCGAATTCTGTACGCATTTTCGGATTCATTTTGGTTACATACTATGAAACACTCTAATTAACAAACCGCACACGAAATCCTCTTCCAGAGACTCGATGACGCGCATAAACTGTGACAGCTCAGTCGGGTGCCAGCTACCGTCATCAGCTCAGTCAGACAGTCATATGACCAGCACTCCGCTGTCATCTATGTTGTGCAGCACCGGTTAGCTAAACTCACCGAAGACCGTTCCCCATTCTCAACTTGCCGTACATTTTCCCAACAATGGCAACATTGGTGGCAAACAGGGCGATGGACAACGGCCTGGCAGCAGCAGCGAGGACCCACACTCAAGCCGTGACCAGAAATTACATCTCTCAACCAAGGCTAAGTACGTTCATTGACTAGCTGCTACTTTAGCTTTAGGCTAACACTTATGTCACGATACATTTGGCTTGAAGATATACAGAAGAAAATAAATATGTTAATCTCTCCCGAGGTTCTTACAATGTTGACTTTAGGAGTAGATTACAAGTTGTGTGTGTTGAAACTCAAGGGGATATACTGCTGCTGGATCATATGTGCAGTCTGAAATGATGATTACATGATTTTAATATGAGCTAATACGTTGCCGGCAACAATACGAAGGGCCAAATAATAAAATAACACAAGTTCGTCTTGGGTATATCTGGTTGGTGCCTATGTGTGTTTGTTTTTGACAAAATCGGGATTCGTGTCATTCATATCAAGGAGCAAATCGGCTAAGCTACATTGCAAGCTATTGCTAAGGGTGGACAGCATGTCGTACTTTGGCAAGCTGCATTCGTTGCGTGGCTACTATTCAATGAATTGATGTCATTCACTTCAGTCACTGTATTCAGATTTATTTATGCCGTGCTAGTATTTTAGAGATGTCGGGACTACTGTCTTTGGCCTGCGATTTAAGGTTCTGTCATAGCTGTAAGCCTTCGGTGTTCCGGTTAAGTCACCGTTGAGGAGACTTCTTTAGTTATTTCGATTATGGGTGTTGCAACGCTGCTTCTATTGTACCTTTCCTGTCAAAATGTTACAACAGTAGCACACTATCAGGGAAACTCGGGAGAACGTCGTTGGCTTGGTGAAGACCGAATGATGACGGTAATCTGTCATGTGAGACGATCACGAGTGTTGCGGCACCCGGAGCGCGAGGTCACGTGACCGTCTAAACAAAACTGAAAATGGACAAATATTGCGGGCTCTAGTCAATGTTGGTTAATAGGGCGTGCCGCCTGCCACACGACCTCTACAGTCGCTTATCCTAAATGTGCTTTCTGAACGTGAAGTCAGGTGACTAGATGAGGTCAACCGTAATTTTTGATTGATCATGTATGAATCATGGACTGTACACAGTGGGAGCCAGCATATACCTCTCACTTAAAGAACACATTTTTTTTTCACTGTTCATTATTTCAAAAACCCACAGTTAATTTCAATAATATTAAAAAAATATGCCATCACAATGATGAAAAAATTTTTTAAGGCAATTGTCAGTGAAGTAGTTGCCAATTACATTATATCGGGCCCGGCTTCCCCGCAAGAGGCTGCATATTTCGCCACAATTTTTCTGCTTCGGATATCTGAAGGAGACAAACTTAGCGAACGTAGTTCCTCACCACGATGAGTACAGCATGTGTAACAAGTACCATGCACTTACTTCATCATTTGAGAGAATATGTCGCTTCGGGTGACATTTTGCTTGCACTTCTGCCGAAGAAATTGCTGGTAGACTCGCCAAGTGTGGTCGTTGCTTTCTATTAGTTCACCATCCAGAGATGAAAGTCCTCCGGATTTTCCCGGAATTCCGGGTTTTTCAAAATTTTATGAAAATTTCCCCGGAGAATTGAGGAAAACTTGCATAAAATTAATCCGGATATTAGTTGACAACATTGAACGAAGACGCGTTTGAGTTCCTTGTATTGCTTTCACGAGCGTAGCCATATTGAGGCACTAACACTAGTAACAGTAAAGAGATTTTTGTTTGTGTAATAACGACAGAAGACATGACGGCGTTTGACTAATGGTTTAGTAGAATGAATGGCAACTCGCAACAACAGTAGCAAGCGTCATTTTGCCTCTTAGGTTATACCATCTCAACTAGAACGTGGGGGATAGTCCCCAAACAATTTTCGTCTCTTGATAAACACACCTGCTAAACCCCAGTGGGACGAATAAAAGACGCCGTGGACAAGACAGTTGTCGTAAAAAAATATATTTGGCCAAAAAGGGAAAAACACAGATTGGCAGAAAATCGTGTCCGTCCGACTTCGAGTGTCGTCTCGGCT